AAGAACTGGCAAAGATGAAATCAGGAAAGCTAAGGCTCAGAATGAAATAAGATTTGCAATAAATACAGTCAGGTCCAGGAATATTGGGACATCAACACAATCCAAACATCTTTGGCTCTATACACCACCACAATGGAGTTGGAATGAAACAAACACAATGTGCGTTAACTGCAGAATGTCAGCTTTAATTTGAGGGTATGTACATCCAACTCAGGTGAACGGTGTAGGACTTACAGCAGTTTGCATATGTGCCTCCCACTTGTTAAGGGACCAAAAGTAATGGGACAGAATAATAATCTTAAATCAAACTTTCCCTTCTTAATACTTGGTTGCAAATCCTTTGCAGTCAATCACAGCCTGAAGTCTGGAACGCATAGACATCACCAGACGCTGGGTTTCATCCCTGGTGATGCTCTGCCAGGCCTCTACTGCAACTGTCTTCAGTTCCTGCTTGTTCTTGGGGCATTTTCCCTCCAGTTTTGTCTTCAGCAAGTGAAATGCATGCTCAATGGGATTCAGGTCAGGTGATTGACTTGGCCATTGCATAACATTCCACTTCTGTCCCTTCAAAAACTCTTTGGTTGCTTTTGCAGTATGCTTTGGGTCATTGTCCACCTGCACTGTGAAGCGCCGTCCAATGAGTTCTGCAGGATTTGGCTGAATGTGAGCAGATAATATTGCCCGAAACACTTCAGAATTCATCCTGCTGCTTTTGTCAGCAGTCACATCATCAATAAATACAAGAGAACCAGTTCCATTGGCAGCCATACATGCCCACGCCATGACACTACCACCACGCTTCACTGATGAGGTGGTATGCTTAGGATCATGAGCAATTCCTTTCCTTCTCCATACTCTTCTCTTCCCATCACTCTGGTACAAGTTGATCTTGGTCTCATCTGTCCATAGGATCTTGTTCCAGAACTGTGAAGGCTTTGTTAGATGTTGTTTGGCAAACTCTAATCTGGCCTTCCTGTTTTTGAGGCTCATCAATGGTTTACATCTTGTGGTGAACCCTCTGTATTCACTCTGGTGAAGTCTTCCCTTGATTGTTGACTTCGACACACATACACCTACCTCCTGGAGAGTGTTCTTGATCTGGCCAACTGTTGTGAAGGGTGTTTTCTTCACCAGGGAAAGAATTCTTCGGTCATCCACCACACTTGTTTTCCGTGGTCTCCCGGGTCTTTTGGTGTTGCTGAGCTCACCAGTGCATTCCTTCTTTTTGAGAATGTTTCCAACAGTTGTTTTGGCCACGCCTAATGTTCTTGCTATCTCTCTGATGGGTTTGTTTTGTTTCTTCAGCCTAATGATGGCTTGCTTCACTGATAGTGACAGCTCTTTGAATCTCATCTTGAGAGTTGACAGCAACAGATTCCAAATGCAAATAGCACACTTGAAATGAACTCTGGGCCTTTTATCTGCACATTGTAATTGGGGTAATGAGGGAATATCACACACCTGGCCATGGAACAGCTGAGAAGCCAATTGTCCCATTACTTTTGGTCCCTTAACAAGTGGGAGGCACATATACAAACTGCTGTAAGTCCTACACTGTTCACCTGAGTTGGATGTACATATCCTCAAATTAAAGCTGACAGTCTGCAGTTAACGCACATTGTGTTTGTTTCATTCCAACTCCATTGTGGTGGTGTATAGAGCCAAAGATGTTAGAATTGTGTCGATGTCCCAATATTTCTGGACCTGACTGTATCAAAAATAATAGTAAAAAAGTTTCTTTCAACATATTAATAGTAACAAAAAGTCAAGGAAATAATCGCCTCACCAATTTTAGAAAATGGTAAGAAAGTGACAGGTAATAGAGAGAAAGCAGAACTTCTCAATCCATTCTTTGCATCTGTCTTTACACAAAAAGAAAATATAGCTCAATGTGCCAATAACATAACTGCAAAAGACAGTCTAGTAATGCAAATTAAAATAGGCAAGGAAATAGTAAAAGAACACCTGACTGCTGTAAATGAGTTCATATCACCAGGACTTGATGGATTATCATATTTTTTGGTCTATAAGACGCTCTGGACCATAAGGCACACCTAGCTTTTGGGGAGGAAAACATGAAAAAAAAATCTGCCTCTGCCTCCCAACATCCATTGGTATTCATCTGGCTAGCATCCTTGCAGCAACCAACAAACAGCAAATAGCCTGGTCACTTTCAGCATCTTATCGCAACCTGATTTAGCATGAGCACCTGATTGGCAATTGGATCGGCCTCCCGGAATACCACCAATCAGCTGTTCCAGGTTGCAGGGAATCACCGCCTATCGCCACCTCCATGCATCCCATTTTTGGCCTCCGTGCACCCCATTTTTGTCCTCCGTGTGACCTGTTTTTGGCCCATTCCAGGTGGTGGGGATCACTGCTGCCTATCGGCACCGATTGCCGGCAGAGATTGCCGGCAGAGATTGGCGGCGGCAGTGATAGGCAGCAGTGGTGATCAGCAGTGACAATTGGCTGCAGCGGCAATTGCCACCGCCTAGAACGGGCCAAAAATGGGATGCACAGAGGCCAAAAGCGGGGCACGTGGAGGCCAAAAATGGGACGTGCAGAGGCCAAAAATGGCTGAAGGGTGGGGACTGTTGGGTGTGCAGGGCTTTGGCAACATTCACTCTATAAGACACACAGACATTTCCACCCACTTTTTGGGGAGAGGGGGGAATGTGTCTTATAGTGTAAAAAATACGGTACACCCTAAAGTACTGAAGGAGCTAGCAGACGAGATACCAGAACCATTAAATATCTTTCAAAGATGCTGGAGAATTGGAGAACTACCAGAAGATTGGAAAAGACCTGATGTGATCCCCATCTTCAAAAAAAGGGGGAAAACATATCCAGGAAACTATAGACCAATCAGTCTGACATCAATACCTGGGAAGACCCTAGAAAAGCTAATCAAGCAACACATCTGCAAACAACATAAAGCAAGCAGAGTTATAACTAGTAGTCAATATGGGCTTGTCAAACAAATCTTATTTCATTCTTTGACAAAATACTAAATTAGTGGACCAGCAAAATGCAGTGAACATAGTATACTTGAACTTCAGTAAGGCATTTGACAAAGTTGATTACAACTTATTTCTTGTTAAGCTAGAAAAATGTGGAATAGATTGCATCACCACCAGATAGATTTGTTACTGGCTGACAAACCACACTCAACATGTAGTCCTTAATGAAACTACATCTACATGAAGGGAAGTAAGTAATGGGGTTCCCAAAGTTCTGTATTAAGCCCAGGACTCTTCAAGGTCTTCATAAACAACTAAGATGAAGAAATAAAAGGGGAACTCATCAAATTTGCAGATGACACCAAAGTGGCAGGAATAGCCAATACCCCAGAAGATAGACTCAAGATCCAGATGATCTCGATAGACTTGAACACTGGGCCCTATCCAACAAAATGAAATTTAACATAGAGAAAAGCAAGATCTTAGGCAAAAATCTTAGTAAAAAAACCCAAATACAGGTACAGACCAGGTGAAACATAGCTCAATAGTAGTAAGTGCAAGAGGGATCTTGGAGTTCTAGTGGGCAACCATCTAAACATGAGCCAACAGTGTGCAGCAGCAGGCAAAACAGCTAATACAATACTAGGTTGCATTAGCAGAAAAACAGAATCAAGATCACATGAAACATTAGTACTGCTTTAAAACCCAATAAGGCCACACCTAGAATACTGCATCCAGTTTTGGTCACCCCAATATAAAAAGATGTTGGGATTTTAGAAAGAGTACAGAGAAGAGCAACAAATATGATTAAGGGCCTGGAAGCTATACCATACAAAGAAATGGGTTGCAGGAATTGGGTATGCCTAGTCTAGTGAAAAGAACCGGGGGTGACATAATAGTCTTCCAATACTTGAAGGGGTACCACAAGGAAGAGGAAGCCAACTTATTTACCAAAGAACCTGAAGCCAAGACAAGAAACAATGGATGGAAAATAATAAAGGAGAGAAGCAATTTAGGACTAAGGAGAAAATTCCTAACAGTGAGAACAATCAATCAGTGGAACAAATTGCCTTCAGAAGTTCTGGATGCCCCATCATTGGAGGGTTTTAAAAAGAGACTGGACAGCCAGAAATAGTATAGGTTTCTGTATGAGGAGGGGGTTGGACTAAATGACCTTCAAGGTCCCTTCTAACTCTGTCACTGTCACTGTTACTATTATTTGAAGGGACTAACGATCAATATTGTTAGAAGTAAAAGGAAGGAATTGGTCAAGGTTAAAACAGATATGCTATTTCTAGTAAATCTTAATGGACTTTTCTTGACATCAGAACTGAAATGATGATGCTTTAAGGATTTGTTATAGATAAGAGATGGGATATAGAAAGAAGATATCATTTGTTTTATTTACATATAGAGTCAGAGAATGCAATGTTGCTAAAAGTGTTGATGAAAAGGAGTGATTTTTCTTCCTTACTAGATTCTTCCTTGTTTTTTTCTATTTCTCTTTCTATTTTTTTCTGTACCTATTTTTCCTTTTTATTCTTTCAATTTTTTTTAATTTGTATTAGTTATTGTTGTACTTGTAAATTTGCTAACAAATTAGTTTTAAAAATGGATAATATTTCCCTGACTTAAAACTGGGTCCCCTCCATCACGCAACTAAGGGAAGCACTATTCATTTGCTTCTCTCTTCTAACAAGTTGATATTCCAGCAACTTTGTCTATCTTGGTCCCCAATTATTCAATTCTCTGCTATTCTTTACTAGGGCAAATTACTTAAGTTTGACTCCTTGGGGTAGCAAACCTAACAAGACTGCACAAACCAAACCACTCTGCCAATGCTCTTGATTCATTGGTTGATCACTGCTGGAGTATAAACCATGTTTGCATATGGAAATGATTTGTTTATTTAAGTGCAAGGTTTTAGGGTGACTTTCAGTAAAGACTTCATTCAACAGCCTTTTATTTCTCAACACTTCATAGCAAATAAATTATTTCTGCAACAGAAGCACCATACCAAGGTGATGTCTCGGTTACCTGCCATGTAACTGAATTTGAAGAGTGGGTTTCTTTTTTTGCTTCAGCTCCTCATATTCAAAGATGCTGAGGGCAGCCCCTTCAGCTGCAGCCTGAGCATCTCCACAAGGGTCCACTTCAACACAAGGGAGTTCTAGGTCCTGCAGCTGCCTGCATCCAGCTAAACAATAAAATACACATTGGAAAAATTATGACCAAGACAGAAGCAAGGAGGTGTTTTCTAGCAAATACACCTCCTGCCATAAGGAGTAAAAATCAGCCAAGACAATCATTTCTGCAATCAAAGCTTTCTGAAGTGAAAATGATTAATTATAGGACAATTAGACAAGTTATCTAGAAGCTACTCCCTACAAGTAATTCAAGAATGAGAAAGTGCCGCACCCAACTTTCTCATGTTAGAAAATGATGACTGAGCAACCTCAGTTGGCCAAAGTACACAATACATTAAAAAAACAATTTTTGCAATATGTGCCTTTATTTAGCCATGTTCAAAACTCAATTCTGCCAAAGGCCACTTTATCAGCCCATTGAGTAACAGTAAAATAAAATTACAGAATTACAGAGTTGGAAGTGACCTTGGATATTTTTTAATACAATCCCCTTCTCAAGCAGGAAATCCTATGCCATTCCAGACAAAAGGCTCTCTTCTTGAAAACTTCCAATGAAGGAGCACCTACAACCTCTAAAGGCAAGTCGTTCCATTTGTTAATTATTCTCACTGTCAGGAAATTTCTCCTTAATTCTAGATTGGACTCTCTTTGATCATACTTTCTTTTATGTAAAGCTATTACAAACCAATTGCTGTGCCAGCGTTGGTTCTAAAGGCTGCAAAAAGTGGTGTTGTTGAAAATATGAGATTTGACATTTTGCATTTGGGCTGGATTCTGCTGCCATGCTTCCCTCATGGTGCCAAGGACAAGGGCCTTACATACCCATCACATTTGTGTGGAACAGGCAGTTCCATCAGTTGCCATTCAAGCTGCCCTATTGAAATTCCCTTAAGTGTGTATCTTATGGTTGCAGAGGTCTGATCTCTTGTAAATTAAAAAAACCATGGACTTTTATCCATCCTGCTTACAACAGAATGTTTAATATTCACTAAGTTCAGCAGAATTTAATGCAAGAGGGACCAGCAACAGCCATCTAAGCTACTAAGCTTGACAAATGGAAACAACCTTCTAAAATATAGATTGCACTCATTATGGAAGTAGTATTAGAGATTATACATTAACACAAAAGTAGTGTTTTAATTTTGCTAACCTGCCACAGCTGCCCGTATGTTTTCCTTGTCTTCATTCCAGTTTTCATCTATGTTCATTCCCATTGCTTTCTTTCCCAGCCCAACAACTACTACATTTGGAAAGGCCTGCAACAAAACAGAAGAGAAAAACAATTAATTTTTCCTTTTTTTAAAAAAACTCAACCAACTGGAATTTCAAAGAATGTCTTTCAAGATTGGAGCAAATCTAGTATTTACTTTCTTCACATTTTAAAATATTAAAATGGAGGGAGACTAAACTAGCATTATGTAGTAAATGCTCTCCAAAAAATATTCCAAGAAATAGAAATGTTTTTTGTAATATCCAGTATCTAACTTGATGCATTAATGCAAAAAGGATAAGCAACAGGATGGTGTATAATTGCAAGAAAGCCCTAAAAGGCTATTTTGTTTTTTAAACATTTAATTCAGTACATGCTATCAGATCTTTTAAACACATAATTGCAACCTCAGATGTTGGGATGGTTCATTGCTTTGAACAAGGATAGCAATACACTTAGACTTATATACCACTTCATAGTGCTTTACACCTCTCTCTAAGGCTAAGCAGTTTACAGAGTCGCATATTGCTCCCAACAATCTGGGTTCTCACTTTTCCAACCTTGGAAGGATGGAAGGTTGAGTCAACCTTGAGCTGGTGAGGATCGAACTCCTGGCAGTAAGATGAATTAGCCTGCTTTCCACAAATAAAACTGTGATGCCATTTTCAACTATTTTAGTTTCAACTATTTCAACTGTTTTAGTTTTAGTCAAAGGTTTGCAATTTTTGCAATGCTTTTCTTTTTGGAACACTGAGTCACCACATTGCTTCCTTGGACCTGCCCCATGGCTTTCATCAGAGCTTTCATGCCCAAAAACAGTTTACCACATTCCCGTAGCTAACGTCCCAAGTGTCATTTAAGAGATCGAGTTTCACAGTCAAGATTTGAAGGACTGGAAGTCAATTTTAGAAGTGAGATCAGACTTGAGGAGCAGGTCTCCGCGCTCCCATGCTGAGTTCTCCTGTTGGAGGGTTCCAAAAGGAGCTAAAGTCATCCTGTAGGGTGGTGAAGAAAAGAGGGGTGCCCTGCAGGTCATGTAGAGTAGCAACTCTCCTGCTTGACCCAGGGCTTCTTCCCTCTCATCCACGATGAGAAGAGGCAGCCAACATGGCTGCCATGAAGCTTGGACAGCCGCAGCAACAAAGAAATGTGCAGGAGCGGTGTAGATGAACAGTGACTGGAGCTGGGTGAGAAGATTCCTTTTTTATTTAAAAAAAAAAGAGGAAAATCCAGGAAAAAAGACTCTTAGAACTATTTCTTAAAGTGGTGAACAACCATAGAAAGAAAAATCCTAGACCCGAAAGAAAGGAACTAAGGGGAGAAAAGCTAAAGACTTTTTAAAACATAGAAAATTTGATTTTTAAACTGGATAGGCGTTGTTTTGGAAAGGCATTATAAAATGCTGGGACTATCGAATAGCCGATTTTGCTTTCATAAATTAAATTGAATTAAAATCGGATTAATCAATTTATCAGACTTAAAACAACACTGAAACCTAAGCTGAGGGTGCCATCTACTGGTGAATGGAAAATATACTATACCTCTACAAGCCTAGGAAAATTCCTGATAAGAGAAATAAACAACATTCATCTGGAGGACTGTGGTGACACTATAACTATCTACTTTATGATTACTGGAGACTCTATTGTGAGAATAAGGAAGACTCTTAAGTAAAGTAAAGTGACTTTTGATTTGTGGAAGCTGCCTGGACTACTTAAATTGAACTGATTAATAATCCTGAGATGTAAAGAGCTATGATTATTGAACCTTTTAAGGAGCAACATTCGACTTGAATACATTGTTTTTGGACTATTGACTAAGAGCTTACTAAACTAAGACAAGATGCTCCATCAGGGGGAAATGAGTGAGATTTTATAAGAAATGGCGTTGATGTTTCAAAGTATTAGGGATACTATGAAAAAGAATCACAGAGAGATAAAGAACCTATTGCAAGGCATAAATGGGAAAATAGAAAATATCCTACAACTGATAATGAAGATCAAAGAGTCCAGAAAAGAGAGGAGACAGCAAAAAGAATGGAGGAAAAGAGAGAACAGACAAACCAGAAAATAAAGCAAGAGGAGGAGAAGACAATAAATATAATAATGACTGATGAAATAAACCAAGGAAAAAGTACTTTAAGACAGGGGTCACTAACCTTTTGGACCTCAGGGACCACTAAATTCATAATTTTAAATCCTGGGGACCACTAATATGAATCCAGCACGCCACTCGCTGAAGCGCCTGGACTCCCAGTGACAGGATGGGATTCTTCAGGCACTTAGTTTGGCCTAAGAAAGAAAGAAAAATCTCTCTTTCTCCTCTCTCTCCCCCTCTCTTTGTCTGTCTGTCTGTCTCTCTCATCTCTTTCTTTCTCTCTCTCATCTCTTTCTCTCTCTCTCATCTCTCTCTTTCTCTCTCATATATCTCTCATCTCTCTCTCTCTCTCTCATATATATCTCTCATATATATCTCTCTCCTCTCTCTCTCCTCTCTCTCATCCTCTTTATCTCTCTCTTTCTCATCTCTCTCTCTCTCTCTCTCATTCTGATTCTCCGGCGCTCTTTGGGTCTCACAGGTGCTTCTTCGGCCTTTGTTGATACTGGACACACCTCAGTGCTCAAAATACCCGACCTGCTCTCCGTCCCGAGACACTCACCTGACCCAGCTGCAGCTGATGCTCCACATTGTAATGAACTCCAGGAGGAGACGCCGCCTCCTCCATTGTGAAGCACGCTAAATTTAACTGTGCTGCAAGAGCAGCAGGCAGGCCATGGAGGCACCAACAGCAGTGGCAGAGAGAAATGGCCGGGTCAGGCCAGTGTCTTGGGGCTGAGAGGAAGTCGCGCGTCTTCCCAAGAGACCAAGGTGTGCGGAGCACCAACAAGGGCCAGGAGAAACACCCGTGACACCCAACAAGAGATGAAGCTTCGCTCCAGCTCTGGAATCTCCATCCCCTGCCCTTCCCTTCTCAGGCCAGGCGAGGAGTGACGGGGAGGGGAGGTCAAGGGGTGGGCCAGCCACTGGTGGGTTCAGCTGACAGGAAGCCACAACAGGGGGAAGAAAGAGCTGAGGGTTGCCGACACCTGTTGCTTCGGCCCGACTGTGCCACCCCCACCCCCGTTGCACCATTACCTTGTTCCGGCCAGCGAGGGCTATGCTACTCCTTGCACGTTGCACTGATTGCAAAATTGCAAGTTGCACGTACCTCCCTCTACGGCAGAGATTTCCAGCCCCACCACAAACTGCCTGGCTGGTCCCATATTTCAAAGCTCTAGTCACAGGACTGACCATTGGTCATCCCAGAGCAGCTCCTCCACCTGGGTGCACTGTGGACCACCAAAATTTTCCCACGGACCACTAGACCGCTGCCTTAAGAGATTTAAAAATGAAATTGGATAACTTCGAAGATACTTTTGAAAGGAAGATAGGGGTTTGGGTGGACACTCTGGAGACCTGGCATCTTAGGAGGATACAGATGGAAGAAATATTCAGACTGTATAGTAAAGACACAGATGCTGATAGAGACAAAGATCCAAGAGAGGAGTATGGGAGGCAAGCTAAAAAATGAATAAGAATTGAAGTATTAAAACGAGCAAGAGATGATGGATAGAAAGGAACTATTTCTTTTTTCTCCTTTTTTTCTAATATAATGATTGCCTGACTAAAAACTAGAATAGAGATAGAAATAAGAATATACGCCTTTATATAAAGCAATAGTTAGATGGAAAGAGTGGAGGTTGAAAGATGGTATTACTATGAACGCTTAATAATATAATTGGCATTAAAATGGAACATTGAAATATTGAATAACTACTCTAACACAAACATGTATATCAATACTAGGATTATAGAAGTTTGATTAATGTAACAACTATTATTGTTGTTGTTGTTGTTGTTGTTATTGCTGTTTGTATCAAAATGAATTATACCCAGAGGCCACATTGTTCATGTATTGATCTTGATGTATATTTAAAAATAGAAATCCAATAAAACTTTTTTTTTAAAAAAAGAAGCCCTGGAACCTAGGGCTGCATTCAATGTACTCTGGAACTCAGCATTCAGAGTGCTGCCAAGTGAATGACCCAAAGCTGTACCAACACTGTCCCAATGGACAGTGAAATTCCCTTCTAAAAGGTCAGGTTCCTCACTGGCTAAGAAACTTGGTTGTAAGCAAACCAGAGCTGGTTTTAAGACAGGCCGCTATACAGGTAGTCCTTAACTTACCACAACTGGGACCAGAATTTCCATTTCTAAGCAAGGTGGTGGTTAAGTAAGTCATGTCTAATTTCATGACTATTTTCCATAGTTAAGTGAAGCATTGAAGGTGTTAAGTAAATCATGTAGTCTAAATCAGGTTCTGCTAAAGGGTTTCACTTTATGAGCAAAAGTTGGCTGCTGACGGTTATCACTGCATTTTAACTATTTTAATTCCTCAAGGTGCTCTGACACCCTGCCTGATTTGTAACTCTGGGTTGCAGTTATTGCTGATAAAAAGGAAAGTATTTAGACAGAATGGTTTAGGTTTCATGATGGCTGTGACTGTTATTGATCTTCAGTGTGTATTCCCCCATTTCTAATCTAATGATTGGTATTTAGGGCAGCTTTTTTGCAAGCAAAGAAGTTTTTTGTATTTCTGTACAGATAATCCTTGATTTACAACAGTTCATTTAGTGACCATTCAAAGTTACAATGGCACTGAAAAAAGTGACTTATGACCGTTTTTCACACTTACAACTGTTGCAGCATCCCCACAGTCACGAGAGGCCTGGCGAGGCGAAGTAACCCTCAATGTGAGTGATGTCGAGTTGGCCACGCCCACCCAGGCACATGACCACCCAGCCATGCCTACTCAGCTGGTCATTAGGGCAGAGAACCGGTTGTTAAATTATTTGAATTCCACCACTGGGTCACCTGAGTAGTGCAAACGGGTGTGGAGCTTTCTTGGAACTGCTGAAACTGGCACAGTCTTTTCAGCAGTTCCAAGAAAGCTCCACACCCATTTGTACTACTCAGGTGACCTGATGACACAGATGAACCTCCAGGTGGCCTCAACAACTCTCTAAAACTCTCTATTCCAACTGTGTGCAAGGAATATAAATCCTTCCATTCCCCACTATCCAGTCAGAGCTGAAGAAGCTTCTTGGATCAGAAGTGAAATGACTTCAAAGAAAACAAGAAAGTCCAGTTGCCTCTTGAAAAAGCACCTTTGGAATTTCCATCTTATCTCCTACCACTAGATGACCTTCTCAACATTAACTACCATAATCACTTGATTCTCAGTCTTTGCTTCAATCCTGAATCTGCTGTCTTCTTATGAGGTTAGAGCAAGCTGTGAAAAGAAGCCAAACTCCACACTGGAAAAACTATGGGATGTACACATTTTTATTCCAGTGCTGTTCTATAAACTCTGCCAATGAGAAAGACAGTTCTGAAGAATCTGTTTTTATCAGAGAGAAATAAAAAAGTACTATGGGAATTTTCAGTTCACTGTCATATTTATGTAATATTGTAATATTTTCTCTTCCTCAAAATTCAGCAGGAAATCCTCAAAGCTCCACCACATTCTTCCAGCAAAAAAACCAAAACAAAACCCTTTAAAAATTAAGAAGCACAAGGTTAAATTAGTTAAATATTTACCCCCTACCTGATGCAAACCATGAAAGATGCGGGTCTTCCCTTTCTTCAGAGGTGGTCCAGAACTATAATAGGAGACAAAGATGTTCAGTAGTCCACAACAAAACAGATGTTGCCCACTCACTATCAGCAACTGAATCAGAAAATTAGAATATAACAATGATGGAGCTGACAGAAGCAATTAAAAAACAAAAAAGTGGGAAAGCACCAGGTCCAGATGGATTACCGGCAGAATATTATAAGACTTTGCAGGAATCACTGAGTCTCCCATTACTAGAAATTATGAATGAAGTAATGTTACAGAAGGAAATACCCAACTCATGGTTAGAAGCATATATTACACTTATTCCAAAAGAAGATACCGACCTACAGCAAGTCAAAAACTATAGGCCAATATCCTTGCTAAACTCAGACTATAAAATCTTCGCTAGAATACTAGCAGAAAGACTTAAAAGATATTTAAACAATTTTATACACCTGGACCAAAATGGATTTCTGCCAAAAAGGCAGATTAGAGATAATTTGAGGATAATTTTGGATACATTGGAATATTATGATGCGCACCCAGAAAAGCAATGGCTTTGATCTTTTTAGATGCACAGAAAGCCTTTGACAATGTGAACTGGTGATTTATGATACTACAATTGAAACAGATGGGCTTTGGAGAGAAATTTGTCCAAGCTATAGAAGCTATATATTATAAACAAACAGCAAAAATAATGATGAATGGAGAGATGACAGAATCTATTGAAATACAAAAAGGAACAAGACAAGGATGTCCATTGTCACCATTGTTGTTTGTGTTAACATTAGAAGTACTAAACAGAAATATCAGAGAAGAAAAAGGAATAAAAGGAATGAAAATTCAAAATCAAGAATATAAATTGCAAGCATTTGCTGATGATCTGGTGTTTATCTTGGAAGAACCACTTCAATCTGTAAACAAATTGATAGACAAAATAGGAGATTTTGGGAAAGTGGCTGGTTTGAAAATAAATAAAGATAAAACGAAGATGTTGACAAAAAATATGTTAAAAAAACAGAAAGAAGAATTGGCGGAAGTATCAAGGATGCAGGTCACGAATAAGGTTAAATATCTGGGAATATAGTTGACAGCAAGATGTGGTACTCTTAAGGAGAATAATTATGATAAGCTTAAACAACAGATAGCGACAGATCTAACAAAATGGGAGAATTTGCAGCTATCATTGATAGGGAGAATATCAACTATTAAAATGAATATACTGCCCAGACTTTTATACTTGTTTCAGACAATTCCAATTAAGTTGGGGAAAAAATATTTTGAAGATTTAAATAAAATGGTGTTAAAATATATATGGCAGGGCAAAAAGGCAAGGATAAAATTAAAATTGATGCAAGATGTTAGATCAAGAGGAGGTTTTGGTTTGCCGGATTGGGAATTGTATTATCAATCTTGTAACTTGATGTGGATTAAAGAATGGATAACGCTAAGGAATATTAGATTGTTGACCTTAGAAGGACATAATTTACTGTTGGGTTGGCACACTTTTATGTGGTATAAAAGTACAAAGTACAGGGTTATTTCAGAAGACATATGATACGAGAGCCTTTGTTATTAAACTGGGAGAAGATCAAACAATGTTACTATTTAAAAATTCCAGTCTGGTTATCACCTATTGAAGCAGTCTCACACGCAATAACATTTAGAAAGGAACAAATTGTTAGATATGGTGAATTATTAAATGAAAGGGGTGAACTTAAGTCGAAGCAAGAATTAGAAGAACAAGAGCTTGAAATGGATTGGTTTTCATATATGCAAATACAGTCTAGATATGATGAAGATTCTAAAAAGGAGGGTTTTTATAGTAACTTGACAAACTTAGAGAAAATCTTAACAGGTTCTGATGACCATGTAATTAAAAAATTGTACAGTCATTTATTAGAAGTAAAATTGGCAGAAGAACAAGTTAAAGAAACAATGATTGCATGGGGGAAAAATGTGGGTCATGGGATTGACTTAGAGAAGTGGGAAAAATTATGGCCGGGGAATTCTGGGAATTGAAGTCCACACATCTTAAAGTTGACAAGATTGAGAAGTACTGCTTTAAATCAAGTGGTTTTCTCAGGCTTACAAGAGGTTTGAACTAATCAGTCCTATCAATATCTCCACCAATGCATTTGCATCAATAATGCCTTTCTAACTTAGCCTATCTAAGTTCTAGTTTTAAAATCCTCACTCACACAGATGTGGCCCCTTGACTTTATAAAAACAACATGACCAAGACATTAGTATCATTTAGTATATTGCTAATCACTTGTTTCCAGTTAGTGAACCATTAAAACTATGCATACTTTGGACTCTCTTCCAAAAGGTGCTTCAGAAGGCCATGCATATAAAACATCAGTGTTTTAAAACAGCCATGTCTTTTCCTGGGACTTCATGGTAGCTACAAAAGTACATACATTCTCCTGGAAAAAGAGCTGCTTGATTTATATGAATGTTACATTCAGGTTCATACAGGAACCTGTATGCAAATCTTTTGGGAATAGTATTAAGTGTTGCAGGACCCTTTTGATTATGACTGTTAGGCCATCTCACTTTTCTAGTCACCTGCTCCTTACTTGAAATTGAGAACACCTGACAAAATGGGCTTTTGGAGAAGTCCAAAAAAGGAAGGGGGGTTGCTTGCAAAGAGAGCAATGGAATCAACATCATTTGAATGGCAAAAAGGAAAAAGATGAATGTGGGAATGGAGAAAGGAGAAAGGAGGAAACAAACTTGCAACAACTTCTGCAGCTACTTGCAAAACATCCTTAAGGCCAAATGTTTTTCCTGTCATTTTGCAACAGTTTAATAAAGAGAAGGAAATGCAACCAGTTGCTTACAGGGCCAGTAACTCCTTCAGCTTCCCGTTGACTTGTTTGTCAAAAGCCTCTCCTGCATAAGACAATTGAGAAGGTTCATCATCACGGTCGCTGGCAAAGGCTCCAAGAATGAGACCCTACAGAAAGTGAGGGTTAAATTAGGTAACATCCATAAAACAATGGCAGATTCTTTCCACAGGATCAAGATTGGAGGGCAAAAGATTTCCATCACGAACTCATAGGTTTTATATTGTATCATTTTGATGGAGCAACATTCTCTTCTACTGAAACCAGGGTCACTCTGAGATATATTAACTTTTAATTAATAGGTTAATTTCACCTAATCTTATCATCTTCTTAAACATACTTATGACAGGCCAGTCTTTTGAAAGAAAAAGCTATGCCGTGAAAGATCCTACACAAATTGGGAAAAAGGCAAAATCCCTATTTAGACCATGTAATTGCTGCAAATTCCTATTCTCAGCCCTTGATGGCTTCTTCTTGCCCCAAGATCCGAACTCACCTACCTTTCCAGCATGAGGACTATCACTTTGTTGATGAGGCATTGTCTGCAGAACTGCTGCTTCTGGCACTTTCAGCTCACTACCGGGGCAGATTTTATAGCAGGGACGATATCTTGGTCCCGCCTCCAAGGCTTAATTAATTCTGCCCAGTGTGAAAACAGAAGGAACAGCAGGGCGTGAGCCACTGCAAGCCCTCAAGGTGCTCAGTGCTGCCTTCCCAGGAGATTTAATTTTGTTTATCTCAATTTGCCTTGGGGGGAAATCTAAGGAACAAGCTAGAAGCAGGATTCAGCAGGTTCAGAAAGCACCTGACCTGTGCCAAGATCATATGTAATACTCATGGTCTACTCCAGTGTTTCTCAACCTTAGCAACTTTAAGATGTATGGACTTCAACTCCCAGAATTTCCCAGCCAGCATAGTCCACATATCTTAAAGTTACCAATGTTAGAAAACTCTGGTCTACTCACTTTAAAAGCTTCCAGTTGCTAAATCAAGGCACTTGTCCCTTCAGGCGGTTTAAAGGATTTTTTGGGGGGGGGAAGGGGGGGTATTCTCAATTTTGGGGAGACTGGCAACAGTAGACCTATCTAGTCTTTTTTCTATTTTGTCACATATTCCCAGTTTTTTTCTTGTCTTTCTCTATACAAAAGATTTTTTTATTATTATTGCCCTAAAAGTGGCTGAAAAGACAGTTCCCCATAATTTAAAGATTAAGAAACCTGATCTCTTAAGACTTAGAGCAAAGCTGTTCTGAATTAAACCATGTTTTGAGTGTAGGCAGACTAAAACCAAAGCTGCAGTTAAGGCTGGAAAAACTGCTGCTGCCAGTCACTGAGGACGATATCAATCTAGATATGATTTAGTCCTCTGAGATCATATGCAAAATCAATACAATTTAATCACTCAGTTCATCCACAGAAGAACAAATTGGATCAAGACCACATGATTTCTGATACAACCTAGTTACAGGCAAAGCTGGAATGGCCTCAGCTGGATCCCAAACATTGGGAACAAGGGCATGGCAGGAAAGGATGGCCCATCTCAATGTGAGCAATCTCCTGGCCTCCTGATGTACTGGATTACAACTCCTATCCCCTCGGGTCACTGGCCACATTGTTGGGGATAATGAGAGATGGATCTCAAAACACGCTGGTTATCAGATATTTTATTTTATTTATTTATTTATTTTATTTTATTTGTATACCACCCTTCTCCAACAGGACTCAGGGCGGTGAACAGCCATGGTAAAACATAACATATAAAATTTAAAAGCAATTTAAAAACATTAAATAATTTGGCTATCCAATTAAAACAACCTGATATAATACAGACTATAATACAGATACAATACAATATAAAATTGTATTGAATTACAATACTATAAAACACGATACAATACTATAAAACAGAATACAATACAGACACAAGTAACAGAACCAATATTCAAACCAGTGCATTAGAACTTTAAAAGAGCTAATTTTGACAAACTCAGAAAAAGCTTGGGAAGGATCCCATGGATGAAAATCTTAAAGGGGAAGCCAACTCAAGAAGCTTGGGAAATTCTGAAAAATGATAATAAAAGCCTAGTTCAGCTCAATACCACTGAAAAAGAAAAACAAGAAATCCAAGAAGAAATCACTATGGTTGCACAAAGAGCTCTTAGACAAACTGAAAGAAAAAAAGGATAAATACAAAAAATGAAAAGAGGGACACATAACTAAGGCAGAATACCAACAAATAGCTCGAACCTGCAAAGACAAAGTTAGGAAAGCTAAGGCTCAGAACAAAGTAAAACTTTCAGCAATCCACTAATTGGAGATGATGGCAAGGAAGTAATGACCAGAAGAAAGAAAACAAAACCTTTTAACTCATTCTTTGCATCTGTCTTCACGCACAAAGATAATACAACCCAACTTACCAAAAACAGAACTGTAAAAGATGGAATAGGAATGCAAATTAAAATAAGCAAAAATAAGCTAAGAGAATACCTCTCAAGAGTCTCAACTCTAGACAAATTCAAATCACTGGATCCTGATGCATTACATCCCAGAATTCTGAGAGAACTGTCAGACATGACCTCTGAACCACTGATCCATATCTTAAAGTTCTTGGAGTACCAAGTGACTAAATTAGTTAAGTCTGTTTTTATATTAACCGATGGTATAAAAATGTCACTACACTAAAGAAATTCTGTCATATGGATTTACAGACACTATTCATTAATTTAATACTCTTCTATGACTGCCATGAGTTTTGTTCATTTATACCAGGGGTGTCAAACTCAAGGCCCGCGGCCCAGATCTGGCCTGTAGGGGGTTCGATCTGGCCTGTGGGGCCAGCCTGGAAATAGCAAAGGCAGTGGCTCTGCTAGGGAAAACAGGGCACAGGGGGCCACACACTGCCTGCTCGTGCCCTGTTTTTGCTGCCAGAGTGCCACAGAATGCCACCCAGGCCAAAAAGGCATTTCCATCTCCTGTTTTGACTGGCAGAGGGCTATCAAAACTAAAATCAAAATAAAAGGAGAAATGTTTCCCCTTTTGCATTTGAGCATGCAAGAAGGGGCACGAAAGGAGAAAGGGAAAGAGGAAAGACAAAGAAAAAGATGGGAAGATGGGAAGAGAACAAGGAAGGAAAAATAAGGAAAGGGGAAGGAAGAAGAAAGGAAAATGAAGAGGGAAGGAAAAAGAAGAAAAAAGTAAGTAAGTAAGTAGGGAAGGAAGGAAGGAAGGAAGGAAGGAAGGAAGGAAGGAAGGAAGGAAGGAAGGAGATTATAATGAGTGAGTGAGGGTCTCAGGGAAGACCTGCCTTAGCACTTGGCCACCACAGGTGCCCCCCCAACACAAGTCCCGTGTCATACCTACATGCCCACCCCCACCCCCACCCCCGAGGTCAAACACAACCCTGATGTGGTCCTCAAAGAAATTGAGTTTGACACCCCTGATTTACAGTAGTTGTGGTCTTCATACATCCTAAGCTTGCATAAATAAGGCATTGCAAACCTTAGCAAACCAAATCCTGTGGGCTGAACAGAGATATCCAGACTCCCTACTCATTGTGTTAGGAGATTTTAACTGTTCTAATCTAAGCCAGGAGCTGCCAAGATACACTCAGCATGTCAGTTGTCTCACTAGAAGCAAGAATATTTTAGACCACTGCTAGTCAACACTAAGAAAATTCCTATTGTTCTCTAACAAGAATGGCTGTGGGACACTTTGATCACTGTATGATTCACCTGGTACCTGTTTATAGACAAAGACTAACATCATAAAACCGATAGTTAAAACAGTGAAATCTTGGACTGAAGAGGCAAAGTTAAACCTACAGGCTTGCCTCAACTGCAGACTGGAGCATTTTTGAAGCTGCCTGAGAGGATTTGGATGAACTCACACTGTGACATCATACATAAGTTGTTTTTTTAAATAAATTTTTATTAGACATTTTCAACATTAAAAAACAAAACACAATTTTTCACTCATTACAGCATTTCCATATCGGTATCAATATCATCCATAACATTCATATTTTCATAGGTTCTATTTCTATGGTTCACTATTATATTATACAGTCGTTTGAGTTATAATAATATAATTATTATTAATTATATCTGCATGTGCAGATCGTCCATTATGACGTCCAGGTGGGTGGGTGGAGCTTCCTGCCGTTTTTACTACCAGTTCGCAAGAACCGGACAGAACTGGGAACAACCCACCACTGATGCTGACCAAAACCTTATGCATCTACAGTAATAATAAACCTTGGTTCACAGCTAAGTTTAAACAACTACATCATGCCAAAGGAAAGGAGATAAAATGCTCTACAATCAGGCCAGGAATGTATTAGCATGAGAGGTCAGGGCAGCAAAGAGAAGTTACTCTGAAAATCTAAAGAATCAGCTCTCAACAAATGAACCAGCAAATGTGTGGAAAAGCCTGAAAAATATCACTGGCTATAGCACACCTACCTCTCTTGCTGAAGGGTTGATGAGCTGAATGTGTTCTACTGTAGATTTGAGAGGATATCACAGTCAACTATTGCTACCCTCTCCATCTCAGATACACCAACAATAGCCAAGTCTCCTACACCTCACTCTGTCTCTCTGCCCCGCCCCTCTGGTGAGGCTACAAAAAGAGATGCAGGGTCTATTCCACAGACAAAAGTCTAGAAAAGCACCAGACCAAGGCAGGCTAACTTCTTGCTTGAAGTCTGTGCTGATCAACTGGCCCCCATCTTCTTTAATAAATCACTGGAGATATGCTATGTTTCTTCTTGCTTCAAACACTCTACTATCATTCTGGTGCCCATGAAACCCTCCATTAAGGAGCTGAATGACTACAGACCAGTTGCTTTGACATCTTTAGTTATGAAAATCTTTGACAGGTTAGTGTTAGCCTACCTGAAAATCATCATGGATCTGCTGCTTGCAGGTTGCTTACCATGCAAATAGATTGGCAGATGATGCTGTCAATATGGCACTGCACCACATCTACAACATCTTGTAAGGTATGCACGGGTTCTTTCTGTAGACTTCAGCTCGGCATTGAATACCATCATTCCTGAAATCCTTCTCTGATTCAGGTAGCTATGCCTGACCTACCGTATTTTTCAGAGTATAAGATGCACTTTTTCCCCCCTAAAAGAGGGTGAAAATTTGGGTGTGTCTTATACCACTGGCCCCCACCCTTTGACCTCTGCCTCCCAACAATTTACCTCCTTGCAGCAAGCAACAAACAGCAAAACAGCCCATTTCAGCTTCAGCACAGCCTGATTAGCACAAGCAGTTGATTGTCAGTTGGATGAGCCTCCCGACCCTCAGCTATTTCAGGCTGCAGGGATTGCCATTGCCTATTGCCACACGGGCCTCCGCTGCTTGCCACAAGCAGGCAAATTGCTGGGAGGTAGTTTTTTTTTTTTCTTGTGCTGAAAATGAAAAGCAAGGCTGTTTGCTGCAACGAGGCAAACTGGGAGGCAGAGTTATTGTGGGTGTTTTATGGTCTTATTTTTTTCTTTGTGTCCTTTTGTTATAAAATTTCTGTCTAGAATCAACAATTAGCTGGAATTTAAAAAGCATTTCACTAACTTAATTAAAATGTTACCTGAAGGAAAATAAAGAGGTGGGGGGGGAAGCTTTAAATCTAATAGATTGCATGCTGAATAATTTACTGATTCTGATTACAATACCAATCTATGCAAAGAAAAAAACTTAAAACAGTTCCAAACTGGTAAAATTTCATATTATTTCCCATATCCATGCACTAGCATATATCCTGTTTTCCTCCCCAAAAAAGGTAGGTGCGTCTTATTGTCCGGGACGTCTTATACTCCAAAAAATACTTGCAGATAGATTATAAGCTTTCTAACAGATAGGAAGCAGCAAATGAAGCTGGGTAAAATCATATTGAATACCTGTTCAATTAGCACAGGAGCCTTCCATGAGCTGTGTGCTCTCTCTATTACTCTCTTCTCTATATACCAATGACTGCATCTTGAAGGACACCTCTGTTAAAATACTGAAGTTTGCAGATGACAACAATCATTGGTCTCATTCGAAATGATGATGAGTCTGCATACAGCTGAACACTCTTAAAACTGTAGAGATGATAGTAGATTTTAGGAGAAGCTCTACTATTCTACTAGCGCAGACTGCCCATGGAGCTGCTTATACAGTTCTACAGAGGAATTATTGAGTCTGTCATTTGTACTTCTTATCACTTGTTGTTTGTATCTTATGGTTTAGGATTGTATTTTATGATTTATGATATTTGACTATATTTCACTTTGTTTTCTGTATATATACTGAGAGCTTATGCACCAAAGACAAATTCCTTGTATGTCCAATCACATTTGGCCAATAAAGAATCCTATCCCACCCTACCCTACCCTACCCTTTAGATCAGCAAAATGATGTGGAGATAATATACTTAGATTACACCAAGGCATTTGACAAAATAGACCACAGCCTACTTGTTGGAAAGCTAGAAAAATGTGGGATAGACAACACTACCACCAGATGAATTCAAAATTGGCTGCCAAACTGCAATCCATATGTAGTCTTTATTGTAACTACATCTACATGGAGGAAAACAAAGCGTTGAGTACCCACGGTTCTGTCTTAGGCCCAGTACTCTTCAATATCTTCATAAACAATTTAGATGAGGGAATAGAAGGGGAACTCATCAAATTTGCAGATGATACCAAGCTGTCAGGAATAGCCAACACTCCAGAACATAGGCTCATCATCCAGATGGATCTTGACAAACTTGAACAAAGTAGACCACAACCTACTTCTTGATAAAGTAAAAAAATGGGGGATAGACAGCATCACCACCAGATGGATTTGTAACTGGCTGACAAACCGTATTCAATGTGTAGTCCTTAATGAGACTAAATCCACATGAAGAGAGTGGACAGTGAGGTACTCCAGGGTTCCGTTTTAGGCCCAGTACTCCTCAATATTTTCATAAATGATCTAGATGAGGGAATAGAAGGGGAACTCATCATATTTGCAGGTGACACTAAGCTAGCAGGAATGGCCAACATCCCAGAAGATAGGCTCAAGATCCAGAAGAATATTGACAGACAAGAATATAACAAAGGCCCTATACAACAAAATAAAATTCAGTATGGATAAAAGTAAGATTTTATACTGAGAAAGAAAAACAAAAAGTATAGGTACAGACTGGGTGAAACTGTGAGAGGGATCATGGAATCCTAGTGGACAACCAGTTAAATATGAGCCAGCAGTGTGCGGCTGCAGCCAAAAAAAACCCAATGCAATTCTAGGCTGCAATAATACAGAAATAAAATCAAGATCATGTGAAATATTAGTACCACTTTACAAAGCCTTAATAAGACCACACTTGGAATACTGCATCCAATTTTGGCCACCGCAATATAAAAAAACATGTTGCGACCCTGGAAAGAGTACAGAGAAGAGTGACAAGGATGATTAGGGGGGCTGGAGGCTAAAACATATGAAGATCGGTTACAGGAATTGGGTATGTCCAGTGAAAAGGACTTGGGGAGACATGATAGCAGTATTCCAGTATTTGAGAAGCTGCTACAAAGAGGAGGGGGTCAATTTATTTTCCAAAGTCAGAAGGCAAGGCAAGAAACAATGGAGGGAAACTAATCAAGGAGAGAAGCAACCTAGAACTAAGGAGAAATTTCCTAGGTGAGAACAATTAATCAGTGGAATACCTTCAGAAGTTGTGGGTGTCCCATCCCTGGAGGCTTTCTTAGGAGAGACTGGAAAGCCACTTGTTTAAAATGGTATGTGTCTCCTGCTTGGGCAGGGAGTTGGATTAGATGACCTCCAAGGTCCCTTTCCTACTCTGTTATCCTATGTTCTATCAACATAGCAAGGCAGGTTTTAAATAAGTTCAGTGAATTCTCGATTCATGTTATAGTGACTCCAGTTCAGAAATATAAATAATAAATAAATAAATAACTTTATTGTCATTGTACATGTATACACAATATACCCATACAACGAAATTCACTTAACACCCAAAGACCAGGCCCAACACATATAACAATCCCCAAACACACTCCCACCCACCACAATCCTCCACCCCTAAACCACCCAAACATCCACACAACAGACCAAGTAATACTGTCCAACAGCTCACTGATGGTGGCCCTTTAGTTCATTGTTGAGTGCAATTATAGCTCTGGGATAAAAACTATTCAGAAAATGTGTGATCCGAGTTTTAATTGTTCTGTATCTTCTGCCAGAAGGCAACAGTCCAAAAAGATTGTAAGCAGGATGGGAAGAGACTCTGAGAATGTTATGCAACTTTCTCAAACAGCGAGATTTGAAGATGTCGTACAGGGCTGGTAGCTGGAATCCGATGATATTCTGGGCAGTTTTAATGATTCTCTGTAGAGCTTTTTTGTCTCCTACAGAGCTGCTCCCATACCATGCAAGAATGCCGTATGTCAGGACACTCTCAATGGTGCTGCGATAGTAGGACAGAAGTAGATGCTGAGATAGATTTATTTTCCTGAGCATTCTCAAGAAGTACAGACTCTTCTGTGCCTTCATCACAAGCATGTTAGCATTCATAGTCCATGAGAAGTCCTCCAAGATAAAAATGCCCAGAAATTTAAAACTACCCACACTCTCCACCTCCTCACCATTTATGTACAATGGTAAATGTACATCGATCTTCCTCCTGAAGTCAATTATAAATTCTTTAGTTTTGGTGGTAAGTGTGAGAAATATTGAAAGTTGAAACCGCAGGGGCTTTAAGCCATTCCTTCCAAGGGGAACAGATTTTCACTGCGTTACAAATAGAAATATAACATTACAAATAAAACATTCTTACTGCGCTGTTCTATTTCCACAAAAAAACTTGGAAGCAGGAAATTACTAAGCACCTGAAGGGATCTGAAAAGTGCTTCTGAGCCCCTGGAACACACCAACCTGTGTCATGATCGTGGGCAACCAAGCTCCACTTAGAGGCGTCTTTTTTCCCACAAAAACAAAATCAGATTCAGGTCACTAATGCAGCAGAGGGTCGCGGTCTTGGGACAATGTCACCCAGAAGGTTTGATCTTGGGACAGTATCACCGGCAAACGCAAACCACCCCGGCCATCTTCCCTCGCTAGTTCCGCAGCCAGCCAGCCAGCACTCCAACCGCTGGGGCGGCCGAGCCCCTAGCTCAGGGGTGGGCAACTATGGCCCTTTTATGACTTGTGGACTTCAATTCCCAGAATTTCTGAGCTAACATGGCTGGCTCAGGAATTCTGGGAGTTGAAGTCCACAAGTCATAAAAGGGCCATAGTTGCCCACCTCTGCCCTAGCTCAACTGCGAGGATCAGAGGAACCTCGAAAGGACAGGGACAGGCTGTCCGCGACGCAGCGCCCCGGAGCATCTGCCGCCGAGCGTCGCGAGGGCTTGACACCTGCCTCTCCCTTCCTCTCCGATTCCCAGAGCCCGGGAGGCGCGCTCGAGCCCTACCTGCCGAGCGGCGGCGCGCGTGCCGGCTGTCATGGAGGCGGCGAGGAAGAGGAGGGCGCGCGGGGGATGGGCGACCAGCGGGCACCGAACTCTCACCAACAGCAGCCGCAGAAGCATGCTCGCCGCCCACGGCCAGGAGGACGACGGGAACGGGGCGGGGGAGAGCGGGAGGCGAGGCTCCATATGAGGGGTGGGGGGGGAGCCATCGTGGGAAGAGACGTCTTTTATGCAACAACCTCGCTTTCTCTGCGCTGCTTACAAGGGTCTACGCTTGCTGACCAATGCATGAACAAAGTAATAATCGCAGGCGGCTGGGCAGATATCAATCCCTGAGCAAAGCTTCCGCTTCTCTCCCTTGTTGAGTGAGGAGGTCCCCAGGCGGCCGCTCCTCCCCCTCGCCTCTTGCACGCGAGTCCGCCAGGAAATCCAGCCTGCTGGATTTAAGATTCCGGCCCTCGTGGAATGGAAAGAGACCTGGATACCCCGACCCTGGAGGCAAATTCTGTCCAGTGTGAATGGGAAGTTATTTGGTTTCTTCTCCAAAACCAATTCCAGTCCAGAGCCAAGTTGGGGAAGTTCTCTACCAACCAGGAGAGCCTGAGTTCTAGTCCTATCCTAGGCACTAAACCAGCAGGGCAACTTTAGACAAGACCCCTTTCTCAGCCCAAGAAGAAGCAGCAGTCAAGGGTCACCTTTTTTTTGTAAAACGCAGCAAGAAAACTGCAGAGCCTTGTCTGCGAAATTACCTGTCAAAAGCAGACCCACATATAAAAGTCCAGCTAGACTCTGCTTCTCTGCATTTACAGCCCGTCCCTCCTCCTTGTCAAGCAATAGCCTTGCTGTTATTACAAGTTTGACATCAAATCTCCCCTCAATTTCTCTGGGACAAACAGGCTCACCTGCTTCTTGGGACTCCAGTCCAGCCTGTTTGCCATGACCTTCCCTCTTCTGGCTTCTTGTACATCCCACTCCAGTATGTGACTCCTAACACAGGCCTGGACTTAATATGGCTTAGTTCAGTGGTGGCGAACCTTTTACTCACCGAGTGCCAAACAGGTATGCCCTTCACTTACCCGTGGCTCCTCCCCCAGGCACTACACACGCAACCACAGCATCAGCACATGCACACGGCTTTTGTTCGCCTCCCCTGTGTGCTGTGTGCACAACCGCACCATCTGTACTTGCACATGGTTTTTGCGCAGTTCCCCCATGCGTTGTGCGTGCAATTGCACTATCTACACAATGCACATGCGCGAACACGAATGCATGCACAGGATAACTCCAAAGACCAGCTGGGTCTCCGAAATTGCGCGCATGTGCATCAGAGGCCCAAACACCAGCTGAGGGATGCGCGCATGCACAGCTGCAGGTGAGGTGTTTTTTTTTTTAATTTGATTTATATGCCGCCCTTCTCAGGAGACTCAGGGCGGCTTACAATGCGTTAAGCAATAGCCTTCATACTTTTTGTATATTTATACAAAGTCAGCTTATTGCCCCCACAAACTGGGTCCTCAATTTACCCACCTTAAAAAGGATGGAAGGCTGAGTCAACCTTGAGCCTGGTGAGAATTGAACTCGCGGTAATTGCAGGCAGCTGGATGTTAAATGCTGCCTTAGGAGGCATTAGCCTCCTACGCCACTCAGGCTCTTGAGTGACAGCTCGCATGCCTGGAAAGATGGCTCTGCGTGCCACCTCGGGCACGCATGCCATAGGTTCGTCATCACAGGCTTAGTTAATGCAGAACAGGATAGAGTCATGACCTTCTTTGACTTGGACAGGACTGACTTCTATTAATAAGAGCAAAGGCATTCCACCCCTCAGTTAAAGCACTTAACAACCTCTCTTTCGTTTGACATGCAGCCTTTCCAGCCTGAGATTTTCTTTCTCCATTTGTAGCTTGTGGTAGGTAGTCTCACTACTCAGAGACACGGAGCCACATACTTCCTTTTGAATGGGAAAATAAAGATTTCTTTTCATCGAAAAGTTGAGTTTCTCTTTTCTTCTCCTGAACTCTGCTTGCTTGCTTGCTTGTTTGTTTGTTTAATCAAATTTAGAAATCGTCCATCTCACTTTCAGAGTGTCTCTTGTTCTTTAATGCGTATATTTGCGATTGACAATTCCTAAAGCTCCGTGCCTTGATTCTCCTTCTCTAATTCTCCTAATCTACTACTTTTATCTTATTTTCACTTTTCTTATGTTTGGCTTCCATTTAAAGCTGTGCCCTGTTGAACCTTATGTCCTACTCAGGTCCACACATCTTAAAGTTGCCAAATATGGAAAACAATGGCCTACAGCAAACAAACCAACTTAATCTGCTCCTACATTGACAACGAAACTTTAGCTTGTCTGTAAAGTCAGACAGAAGGTAACCTCTAGCTGTCCTATCTAATAATGAAAATAATATTAACCCGGCCCTGCGACACACACCTACAGAGAGAGAGAGAGAGAGAGTCAGAGACACTGGTTTTATCTCTTATTCCAATACTGTCAAAGGGCAGCTTCAAAGCGCATCCTATCATGGAGTATGTTGCTTTTTTTGGAAAGTATCTTGGGACCCAAGGAAATACTGCAAGGAGGTTTAACAGATTAATAGAGTTGGAAGGTTCAATCACTCAGTCAACATAAAGGGCTTGTCACAATGCTTGACAATTTCTGGGATTGTTGCTCTTCCTGTCTTTATAAATGCAGAGGAAATTTTGATTGAGGGAGCAGCTGCTTTCAGCACCACAGGACAAAGAAAGAAAAAAGAAGAGAAGGAGGAAGAGGGGCAAATGAGCTGGAATCCTCCACAGGGTCAGAAAGCATGGGGTAAAAAATATTCTCTTCCCTTGCTCCATTTAACTAATCTTTGCTCACTTTTAAATAAGATGGATGAACTGCTCCTTTTAAATAGGATTAACTCCGACTTTTCCAACTCAGCAGCCCTCTGCTTCATAGAAACTTGGCTAAGTGAATCAATGAGTGATAACTGCTTGCAAATCCCAGGATTTCAGATTCAAAGAGCAGATGGAATTGCAGAAACAAGAAGGGAGGAGATATCAGTTTTTATATTAACAACTGATGGTGTAAAAATGTCACTACACTAAAGAAATTTTGTGATGTGGACCTAGAGACACTATTCATTAATTGCATACCCTTTATTTCCCCCCCCCAAGTTTTCTTCATTCATACTATAGGTAATGCCAGATTCCTATGGGGTCATGAAAGGGTCATAACAGAGCCCTCTCTGTGGGCACATGCACTGTCACCAGCTGCTCTTCCAGGTTCCGTCACGCACATGCGGCAGGCCAGCTGGCACACATGCACGCACCAGAACCCAGAAAAGATCAGTTGGCTGGCACGCATGCACACAATGGAACCCGGAAGAGCAGCTGGCTGCAGCACACATGTGCACCGGCAAGCTGCTCTCTTCTAGGTTCTGGCGCTCTGGCTTTTCGGCTAGGTTAACCATCACTGTCCTAGGTGTTTTGTTTGTCTGAACTTGTCAGCTTCAGCTCTTTGCCTATAGGTAAAGGTAAAGGTTCCCCTCTCACATACGTGCTAGTCATTCCCAACTCTAGGGGGTGGTGCTTATCTCCGTTTCAAAGCCGAAGAGCCAGCGCTGTCCGAAGATGTCTCCAGGGTCATGTTGCCGGCATGACTAAACGCCAAAGGCACACAGAACGCTGTTACCTTCCCACCAAAGGTGGTCCCTATTTTTCTACTTGCATTTTTTACGTACTTTCGAATTGCTAGGTTGGCAGAAGCTGGGACAAGTAATGGGAATTCACCCCGTTAACGCGGCACTAGGGATTCGAACCGCTGAACTGCCAACCTTTCGATCAACAAGCTCAGCATCTTAGCCCCTGAGCCATCGCATCCCATTCTTTGCCTAAAGTGTTCTTATTTGGAGTTTCTGGCTGCTCTTTGCTTATGAATAGATTGACTGAGCTTTCTGAATGGATACAAAATATCTGTTCCTAAAGACTAGCCTTTTCAGGTTTCTGCTTGAGGCTGTTTTCCTATAGCAAGAAAACTGGAGATGCTTTCTGCCTTTTAAGATATTTCTCCTCTTCTCCTTCAGGGGAAATATTCTATTCTGCCTCTTTTTAAAATTAAGAATAGAGAATATTTTATTCTGGGGAGAGGGGCCTTCCTACAGTAGCATTTAGAAGTGATTTTTCTTCCCAATTGGTGATTTTGCTTAGAACTGCAAAACATCTGGTGTTCCTTCCAGAAATTTATTCCAGTGAGTTCCAAACAACAAACCTATAATAAATTACATATAAATTGCCAATTCTATTAATAAGTCTCAAAAGACCAGCTATCCCTGTTCATGTTCATATACAAAGAGATTTCATTTGATTGGGATGCCAACATTTCATTGGCTGCACGATCTTTAGCAGATATCAAGAGTTGCCCCTTGAAGGCTTGAGAGGTCTACAGCTGGAGAAACTAACACATGTTGTTCTGAGAAAGATGAGGAGCTTCCCTTTGATGGGTTGTTCCTAATCACAGCCAGTCCAGCCCAAACCACAGTTACAAATGACTGTCTGGATTGGTAGAATTACAAATGCTTTGGGTACAAGATTCAATCAACCTCTCAACCTCTCTCAAGACAGAATGTTATATTGTCTTCTCTTCTTTTTTCATTACAGCACAGCTTTGTTTCGTGATTTGTTATATGTTAAATTAAATGTTATAATTTGATGAGGGACTGGAATACCTGCCAATCTCAGTCTTGTGGCTCCTGGATTCTCTTCATTTCCTTAAAACTACAGTCTCCCAGTACAATCAATGGTAACAGCAGCTTTGTCATTCTCACACTTTGGGCAGCAGAATGCCTCAGTGAGAATGTTGTTATTTGATTATGTCAGATGTAAATGCCTTATTCTCCAATGTGTAAATAATGTATATATGGAACATCAGAGGTTAACTTATTCTTTGGACTTTAATGTATTCATAACTTACCACTCCCATTCCTAGCTCCACCCCTTGTATATATAAGGAGCCACCCTCACCATTCTCGTCGCTTCTACCTTGAATATTCAGTGAATATAGAATGCCTATCATAATTAAAAAGAAATATATTTAAAGCTCTAACTCCAATTATCTTTATTGAGTCTGATCCTGAAAATATTGCAACAGATTATGTGCCATCAAATTGGTGTCAACTCTTAGGGACCACTTAGATAGATCTTTTCCAGGACACTCTCTAACCTGGTTGGACTTTCTGCAACCTGGTCTTTCAGATCTTTCAATGATACATCCATAGTTGCTGCTGGATGTTGTATTCTCTTTCCTTTCACTTTTCCCAGAAATTACGGTAGGTTTTCACATAAGGTCTCCTAAATAGAATCATTTGAGCCTGGTCATTTTTTGTCTTAAGTTGGTTTGTTTGATAATCCATTTATTTATTTTCTTGATTATCCATTGTATTCTCAGGAATCTTTTGAATGAAGTTCAAAAGCATCTTCCTGTCTTGCTGCTTCAAAGACCACTTCCAAAGAGCATGACAGAGAAAACTATGGCTTGCACAATTCTGATACCTGCAGGTACAGACAAATTGCACCATCTGAATATGTTACTTACAAATATCTAATTTCCCAGTTCAGAATTATTCAAGGTAGTGCCTTAATTAAAGTATTTCCCCGCCTCATCCATTGAAGTTTGCAGAATCTGAAGACTGAGGCTTTTCCTTTGGACATACATAGTCCTAGTCCATAGTTCTTTCCACAATAAATCATTCAGGAGAGAAATAGCAATCACTTTTGTTTTGTCACTAGTTTTATTTATGCATATCTCATCTGGCGTATATTTGTCAGTTTTAGGTGGCTTTGATAGGCACAGACCAAGAACTTAGACTTTTTTGTATTATGGTTTTTCCTTTCTGGCATTCCATTTATCTGAGAAGTTTGAGTTAAATTCCAAAATGCTAAGGATATTGTGACTGGGTAATTATCTTCAAGGCTCAGTAAAAATAGTAAAAATGAGCTAGTGATGCAAAATAAAATTGGATACAATAATAAATGAATAAAAATAAAAGGAGACATAGAGGAAGTGATTTGTGCCACAGGCTCATCAGCACCATTTTCCTTTCATTCTGAAGAGAAGGATGAAATGTTTAGTGCCTTATAGATGACATCATTGAAATAACTCAACAGCAGCATTTGAGAGGTGGTCAAAATCTGTAAGATGGAAGCAAGACTTGGACCACAATGCCACACTTTCCATTTTGAAGATTTGGACCTTCAATCCACAAATTCCCATGGAGTCCCATGACTTGACAGCTCTCAATAGTTCCATGATTCCATTTCCTTGCACAATAGGATAGGGAATGCCATCTGACAAGTTTTCCAACAAAACACTAGTGTACTTCTTGTAATCTCAGCTATGCATGTTAGGCCAAAGTTTTTGTGATGCTTGTCTGGGAAAGCAAATACCTTAGGTCACCCAAGAGAGAGTCAAAAACTGTAATAGGAAATTAGTTTTCATCTAATTTTTTGTTGCTCCTCAAAAAAGGCAATGTATTTTTAATTCTTTAGCAAAGGCTTATGGTATCTTGCCAAGAGTAAAACAGGAGTATGAATTAATACACTTCAAAAATAATCATGTGGCAGGAGGAAAAGTTCTCCTTTAGTTCCTCACCTTTAAAGAAACAGTGATACAGACCTCTTTAGCTTCTGTGGTACTGAACAAAGGCTAATGATATACTGAATTAGTTTTCATGAAGCAAAGGAATCCATTTTCCAATATACAATGTTGGGGCAAAGGTAATGTAAACTTCTCTTTTGGAAGATCTATGGATGACACCTTATAACCAGCAGGAAAAGGTGGAGGGCTCCTAAAATTTTGAACACTGTGAGGGAGACACAATCCTCTTCCAGAGTATGGACACAGCAATCAATGGACATCAGCATTTGCTGAAATCAACCTGTTTGTAATACTAATTTTCCCCCTTTAAGACCCAGAAACTCTACTTGATGTCAGTGGCTTTAAAGTATGCAGATGATCAAAGGATCATGGAAGTTCAGAAGAGGCAAATGGCAAACAAAGAACTTAGTACATAATATCTTCTGCTGTAACATTTGCTTCTTCTGTCTTTGTTTTCAGAGTTGGGAAGCGAATTGTGCTGAGGGCAACAATGATCAAATTCAGCCCATGGATTGTTGCACTTGCTACACAAAGCCAGAAAGAAGGCATGTACTCTTCTTCCAGGATGAGAAACTGGAAGCTGTTTTCTCGAAAATTGGTGATTCTTTCTGTAAGCCGATGCAATTTAACAGCTGCCACAAAAGCAGTCACAGCCAACACAGTACATCCACCTAGAAATAAATGTAAAAAAAAAAAAAAATCATTTATGCACATGCCCTACAGAGCAGATGACTCTCATTTCTAAGCTGATCCTAGAGTTGTTCATGTTTGAGTTGTTGACCAGCCAAAGATTGCATCTAACCTTTTAAGAGATGCCAAAGCTACAGAGAGCAAGATGCTGATGCAAAGTGAAAGAGGACCCCTCATCCCATAAGCAGAGTTGGGCTTTTCATTTTTCCCTTGGATTTTGGAGAAATTAAACTATCCCTTTTGAGCCGAAGGGGTTCAATGGTCATAAATGTCTGGGGCCAGAGGTTGATTTTGCTTTTAATACCCCCCCCCCAAAAGCCTTGCAAATATCTCCAGTGGCACAAAGATTTCCTTCCAAAAAGACATGAAACTCACAGAATTTATCTCACTGGAGAGGCACAAACCAACCGGTTGTACCATAGCTGCAGATATTGACCTGTAAATTGTTTCTATTTTCCTTACAGATAGTCCTTAATGTACAATGTAGCAATAGCAATAGCACGTAGATTTATATACCACTTCACAGTGCTTTATAGCCCTCTCTAAACAGTTTAGAGAGCAGTCAGCATATCGCCCCCAACAATCTGGGTCCTCATTTTACCCACCTCGGAAGGATGGAAGGCTGAGTCAACCTTGAGCCTGGTGAGATTTGATCTGCCAAACTGCTGGCAGCCGGTGATCAGCAGAAGTAGCCTGCAGTACTGCATTCTAACCTCTGTGCCACCGCAGCTCATGTACTCATGTTTTCCCAAAAAATAAGACCTGGTCATATATATTTTTGCCTCCAAAAGAGGCATTAGGGCTTATTTGGGGGGGGTCTTATTTTTTTTCATGTAGAGGAGGAGAGTATGAGGGCTGATGGAAGTGGGAGCACTGCTACTGCTGATCCCACCCTCTCTGTCCCACTGTCTGCTTGCCTATGGCCACAATGGGCCAGGCTTTTGGCATGCCCTGGCCTCCACCCACCCTGCCTGCTGCGTCTGCTGCTGCTGGGACACTTCTTGGCTGCTGGCCACTGAGCGGCTGCCTGTGCTGCTGCTGGCCTTTTGGGGCTCTTCACCCTCCTGGAAACAATGTTCCCAGCTGCCCTGTTGTCCTGCTCCTGCCTGGCGCAAGGCAAGTCAGTCCATCTACAGTACGACCACCAGAGTGCCCCCCTGCCACCAGTGCAACTGTGCTGCCTGCGCTGCCTTGCACAGCTGGCCCGAGAACTGCAGCACCCACCAGGCCAGGGCTCAAAGAGCGCCAGGCTCAGTCTGTAGCCCAGCACCTGCAGCACCAAGTAGACGTGCAGGTTGCACTCAGCAGCCCGAAGGCAGTGGCTAGTGAGGTGGTATGGCTCCACCGGTGGCCACTGTTGAAGGGGCCCTGGCAGGCTGGCAGTGCTGGGGAGTGCTCCAGAGGTCATAGATATGGGCCAACTCACCCCAACCAGGCAGGAACAGCCCAGCAAGGCAGCCGAGAGCAGCACTGCCAGGAGGGTGAAGAGCCCCCAAGGGGCCAGCAGCAGCACAGGCAGTCACTTGTGCCAGTTGCTGCAAGCAAGTGGCAAGCACATCAAAAGCAAAAAGTGGGATTCATCTGCCACTCCTTGCACTGCAGAAGATGGGAAAACATAGAGAAGAGTCACCCTCCCTTCGGGAAAGAGCCTGGAGGCATTTCAATAGCAGGTCTTATTCAGATGTCATGTTCTGGAAGGGAGATAAAAATAAATCCTGCAGTCTCTCACCACCACCGTGCAAACCCCAGCAAGGGCAATAGCAGTTGTGCCTTCTCCCTTCCAAAACATGCTGGGATGTGATCTGAATTAGACCTCGCTTGACATGCTATTGAAACACCTGCCAGCTCTTTCCTAAAGGGATGGTGGCTCTTCTCTACATTTTGCTGCCTTCAGCTGTGCAAAGTGCAATGGGCGAGTCCCACTTTTCATTTTTGATGTGCTCGCTTGCAGCAACTGGGACCACTTGGGTGGCACCAGCAGCAGGCAGAGGCATGGGTCCACCCACTCTATGTCCAGCAGGTGCTGCAAACACATTTTGGGAAAGAGCTGGGAAGCATTTCAATACCAGTAGTAGGTCAAGCCAGGTCTAATTCAGATCACATCCCAACGTGTTTTGGAAGGGAGGAGGCGCAGCTGCTACTGTATTGCCCAGGAAGTGACCTGAATAATACCAAACTGCTACCATATTGAAACACTTCTTGAAAAAGAGGAACAAATGGGAAGGGCACCCAAACTCATGGTGCTTTCTTTTGATTCAGTTGCTGCTGCTGACTTGGAAGGGGTGGCTTTTACATTTGCACACCATGTCTCCTGAGAGGTCTTGTGGAGATGTGGGCGATCCCCTCATCCTTAGTCGCTTGGCTTCTCAACCCCTCTTTTTCCTCTGCTTCAGCCCAGCCTAGCCCTTCATCTCCCTCCAAGGAGGGAGGCCAGGTTCAAAGGGGATGGGAGGCTCCAGACCAATCTGCAAGAAACAGACCCTTCCTTCCATGCCAGGTTCCCTCAAGCAAGCCAGGAGCAGTGATCTAGAGACAGCCCTCTAGCGACCATTCTCCCTTCTCATCAGGGGTGGGTTCTACTTACCTTTACTACTAGTTCACAATGGGATAGCTGATGACAACATCCGGGGCAGTGGGCGGGGCCTCCCACTGGTTTTACTACTGGTTCTTGCAAACCAGTCTGAACCGGGGGCAACCCACCACTGCTTTCCATCCTTCTCTTTCCCTTTGCTTCTGAGGTGAAGGTTGAAAAGCCCCATCATTCCCAGCTGCCATCCCACCATCTGTCTTTGCAGAGAGTGTGGTAGAGCTGGAGGATCAGACTGGACAGTGGGAGCTGAGCATGAAGGGACCATGGTGTGCCCCTGCCCCTTCCCCACTGCCTGCTTTGCCTAGCCTCACTGTGGCGGCACCAACAACAGGCGGAGGCAAAGGCACATGGGAATGGGGGAGGCATGCAATACGGACATGCTGTGTGTCTGCCTGCCCCATCGCAGCCACGGGCAAAGATGGACAGAGTGGGTGGGTGGCTACACAGCACATCTGGCAGGCCAGATCATGTGCCTCCACCTGCGCCTCTGCCGGTGCCACCGCTGTGAGGTGAGGCAAGTGGTGGGGTGGGGATGGAACCATGCCATGGCTCCTCCCCTGTGCTCTCAGCCTCCACAATCCAACCTTGTCCTCCAGCTCCTCTGCACACTCTGCAAGCAAAGACAGACAGTGGGATGGATCACGTGTCTCCCCCCCTGTGCCTCTGTCTCTGCCTGCTGCTTGAAAGGACTGCGCTGTGTGGGCTGCAGCTGCTTCTGGACACCATCAGCCCCCACACGTGCGCTCTCCACCTCCTTTGCTAGCTACACCTACCCCTCGTTGATGAGGCTCTGAACTAGGGCTTATTTTGGGGGTAGGGCTTATATTGCAAGCAGCATGAAAAATAATGCTAGGGTTATTTTGGGGATAGGTCTTATTTTTGGGGAAATCCGGTATGTACAATTGGGATCAAAATTTCCATTGCTAAGCAATGCAGTCATTAAACAAAGAGCCTTGGTAGTACAGTGGACTAAAGCACTGTTATTAACATCTGCTGCTTGCAATTACTGCAAGTTCAAATCTCACCAGGCTCAAGGTTGACTCAGGCTTCCATCCTTTCAAAGGTAGGTAAAATGAGGACCTAGATTGTGGGGGCAATAAGCTGACTTTGTATAAATATACAAAAGTATGAAGGCTATTGCTTAACGCATTGTAAGCCACCCTGAGTCTCCGGAGAAGGGCGGCATATAAATTAAAGCAAAAAAAAAAAAAGTCACATCTGATTTTATGACCTTTTTGCCATGATTGTTAAGGAAGTCACTATGGCTGTTAAGCAAATCCAGTTGCCCTCATTGAAAAACAAACCAGTTCCATATCACTCTAAAAAAGCTGAATGGAGCTGGGCTTTTTGATTGCAGTAAAGCATTATACTAAGCTTAGCTGATCCTCCCAAAGCTGCATGGAACTGGGTCTTGTTAAGACTTCCTAGGTTTTAGGTTCCATTTAAAATTAAAATATATAATTGAAAAATATTTGGAAAATTAAAGAAACTTTAATAAAATGTTTTAGCTTTAGTTAATTTTTTTCAAAGATTATGCTGTGGTCAAGAAAAGAACAGGAACAGAGATAACCATGAATCCATCAGAAGTTCAGCATGACTCAAGATTGTCTTTATCTTTTTACGTACCTCCTAGACCATTGATTAGCGGACTCTGTAATTTCAAAGGGCACATGTAATCAAATTATATTCCATTTATCACTTATCAGCATAAAATGTTTTAATATGTTATAACTGTTGAAGTTTGCAGTTCACCAACTCAAATTACACTTTAGAAACTGATGTTATCTTGTGAATTGCATCATGTGGGTTTTACTGAAGATCCAGTATCACCACATCAAATACTTTGTGATTATTTTTCAGCAGTTCATATTTTACTTTAGTAGCATTTTTGCAACACCCAACCTCCCAGCCATTTACAATGAAAGCCCTAAAATCTGCAAAAGTATGTTTACACTTAAAAAGGTAGACTTAAATCCATGGTTAGCATAGTTTATAAATATATAGTTTACAATGAGAGAAGCTTCTAGTGGACCTGCATTTGTTCACCAAAGTATTCATTATTAAAGTCCTCAAACCAAACTCAGTGATATTTTTATTAGGCTAGGTTTGGAAAATTACAACAAAAAAATTATCTTTTTGTGGGCAATGTTTCTAATATCAAGATATACAAACTAGAAAAGGGTGAGATGGGAGAAAAAGGGGTGGCTGAAATTCACCCTTAAATAATGAGATCTGCATGGTTAGGAGAGATATTTGAAGGATATGATCAGAAAATGTCAAGATGGCAGCATAGCAGTGTGATTGATATACATATAAACAAGTGATGTTCCAATTACAGTGTTGTGGCTGCCTTTTTCTGACCACACCTGGTGGACAGCCCTGATGATCAGAATTTGTGAACTGTGGAAGGAGATCTCAGACTCTAACATTACATCTTCCCAAAATTTCAAGATTGTTGGTGTGAAGAAAGAAAAGTTCATTATACCTGCCACCAAGTTCCACAAAGCTACTCCTGCTGGTCCTTGAATGGCCCGAAAAGGGACTTTTAGGAGGTTCAAGAAGCAGAATCCGCAGCTGACCAGAGCAAAGAAAAATGCCACCGACAGGGAGAAGATAACTGTCACATGGAGCATCGCGTTCACCTTTTTCACCAGGTGTGGAAACACTGACAAGGGAGGAAAAAGCAAACTCCAGAAAGATTGGGGAGGTAAGCAGATCCCATAAATAAACAATATTACAGAAAATGGAGCAGATATTGTCAGATTTTCCATTTGGATTCAATGCAGATTTGTATTACTTTTGCCTAAAGTCATGTGCACACCCATACATGTTTGGTATTAGGGAACATAGAACATAAAATAATAGTGTTGGAAGAGACCTTAGAGGTCTTCTACTCCAACCCTTTGCTCAAGCAGGAGATCCTATACCATGCTGGACAAAGGGTTGTCCAGTCTCTTCTTGAAAACCTCCAGTGATGTAGCACCCACTTCTGGAGGCAAGTCATTCCATTGATTAATTGTTCTCACTCCCAGGAAATTTCTCCTTAGTACCAGGTTGATCTCTCTTTGATAAGCTTATATCCTTTATTTCTTGTCTTGCCCTCAGATGCTTTGGAGAATAGGTTATCCACCTCTTTCTGACAGTGTCTCAAAAATTGGAAGACTGCAATCATGTCATCCCTAGTCCTTCTCTTTGTTAGACTAGACCAGTGATGGCTAACCTTTTTGTCATCGCATGGCAGGAGTGGGGGTGGGGTGGGGTGGGGGGATGTTGCATGCATGTGTGCCCACACCCATAATTCTGTGCCCTGCCCCCATGCATGTGCATGCGACCCCCCCGCACCCCTGCTCCTGGCACAGTAGGCCCATTTTTTGCTGTCCCCAGCCTCCAGAGCCTTTTTAGAAGTCTGGGGAGGGCAAAAATGGCCTTCCCCTCACCCCCAGAGGCCTTCCAGTTGGCAAACAGGCCGTTTCTGACCTCTGGAGGGCCTCCGGGGGGGCATTTTTGCCCTCCCCAGATTCCTAGAAAGGCTCTGGAGGCTGGGGAGAGAGGAAAAACGGGCCTTCTCCACCCCCCCCCAGGTCCTCCAGAGGCAGGAAACAGCCTGTTTCCCTACTTCTGGTGGGCCCAAAAATCAGATGGCCAGCATGCACATGCATGCCGGAGCTGAGCATGTGTGCCCACCGATATGGCTATGCATGCCACCTGTCGCACGTGTGCCATAGGTTCGCCATCACGGGACTAGACATACCCAGTTCCTGCAACCATTCATCATATGATTCATCCTACAGCCCCCTAATCATCTTTGTTGCTCTTCTCTGCACTCTTTTTAGAGTCTCAACATCTTTTTGTATCATGGTGACCAAAAGTTTTGCGATGACGCAGTACTCCAAATGTGGTCTCACTAGTACAGTATAAAGCAATACTAACACTGTACATGATCTTGAAATTATCCCTAGGTTGATGCACCCTAGGACTACATCAGCTTTTGTGGCAGCTGCAGCAAGCAACCGAACTCTAAATCTAATTATGCAAAAGATCTGGCAACATTTTGGCCTTTGTCATAACAGAGAGGACTACTTTCCCTCTAACAATTCTAGTTGTATTACAGGTAGTCCTCCATTTGCAACCATTCATTTAGCAACTTTTCAAAATTACAACAGCACTAAAAAAAAAATTATGACTGGTCCTGACGCTTATAACCATTGCAGCATCCCCACAGCCATGTGATCAAACTTTGGATGTTTGGCAATAGGCATGTATTTACAATGGTTGCAACTTCCTGAGGTCAAGTAATTGCCCTTTGCACTTTCCCAGCTGGTTTCCAACAAGCAAAGTCAATGGGGAGGCTGGATTTGATTGATGACCACATTTTACTTAACAACTGCAGTGATTCACTTAATAACCATGGCAAAAAATATCTTAAAACTAGACATGACTCACTTAGCAACTGCTTTGTCTTTCCAAGTAATGGAAATTCTGGTCCCAATTATCATCATAAGTGAAGGGCTGTGTTCTGTTCTTTGGGTGGGAATAATAATTTTAAGTACAGTTAACAAAATCTGGTCTGCAAAGATATAGACCACCACTAGACAATAGCAAAGACATGTTTTCTGTGTCTCTTGGTTGCCCTCTAGTAGTCCCTTTGCTTAGTCAACACAGCAAGTGAATTAGCCATCTTCTCTGTAATAAGATACATCATTTTCACCTTATTAGTTCCCATGGTTGCCACTTTGGTCAAATTATATTGAAAAATAAAATTCCTTTTTCAATCCAAACTTCAGAAGATGAGAATACAGAATAACAAAGCTGGAAAGGACTGTGGAGATCTTCTAGTCCAACTCCCAGCCCAAGCAGAACTTCCGGTAAACAAAATTTTAGGGCAAATAATGACCTGAATAATCACTAATAATCAAAGAACCTCACTTGAATATGTTTATTTGCAAATGCAGGAAAAATGGAAACAAAAGAGGCACTTACTTCTGAATCCGGAAGGGCGACCCCCAAGTCCACACTGTCGCATTTTGTGGCCCCCAAAGAGCCCGTAGTAAATTTTCCCCATGAATTTGACTAACTCAGGGTCTGTGGCATTGACCAGCTCAGCGCCAGTTTTGCAAAGGATTTTTCCCATCATCCATTTCTGGCTGCCCATGGCCACGAGGATCAGGATGAAAGAGGCAAAGCTCAACATAGCACTGAGAGCAAATAAAACCTTTTGAAAGCAGCTGGACATTCCTAACAGTTTTGGGAATCATATGGTGAGGCCTACCCACAAGGTCTCTTTCCAATCCATGGGTTAACTCTTTTTCTTTTTTCTTTAAAGTACCTCCGAAAGATTATTTTTATCTGCAATAATCCAGAGACAGACAACAGAAGCCTCGTAATTCTGCAGGAAGAGGATGCTTGTTGCTAAGAGGACAATCTAGGATCTATTACATGACTAATGTTTCATTGAAAGGTTCAAATTTCTCCCTGGTTTTAAATATTGAAGTGACACCTATGTCTGACCTGGAATGTATTTAGCTTCACAGTCTGCTTCTAAGACTCTTCTGGACAAAGAAAGATGAATTTATTAGATTTTAGGACACCAAATCGCTGTCACCTAGAATTTCTGTTTCTTAAATGTCATCCTGGCCATCTTGCTCAGATGATACTCTGCTTTCCAAGACTAAATAATATTTCCAGATGAAAAGGCACACCACTAGCACAATTTTCAGGCCATGAAAAAAAAAAAAGAAGATACAAATTGATTGCAGCCTGGAGAAACACATGCTTTTCTTGCAACATTCTCAGGATGTAAAATAACCTCACGAGGCATCTCTCAGGTATGCCAGTTGCAAATGTTTGTTTAATGACCATTTATTTTATTTTATTTATTTATTGATGGCTGATGGGAGCATCTATACTAATCTGTGCACAAAAAGAAGAAAAAAATCTGGCAAAAAAACCCAACAGCAAGCAGCGTTAATTTCTATATTTGCAAATATGGGGCTGCCCAAGACAATTTGCTACTTGAGGCATCAGGTTTGTGGGGTCTTTAGTGCCCTCTGAGCTTGGTTGTTTTCTTGCAGATGTTTTATTACCCAACTAAATTGTCAATGTTCCGACTAATGAACACAAGCAAATCAGAACTCTGAGGCTAGAGACTTCCTCAAAGAACTTCTTTATTGGATACATCATATCGGCATGATCAAATGCAAAGCCAACTCTAAATGTTTCAGTATAATTAAAATAAGAAATAATTCCCTCCCCAACAGTCTCAGGTCATGTTGGCCAATTAGGTTAATTGGTGGGCTTTTCAGGCACTCCTCCCCGGCTCTATCCATCACCTGTAGAGATGACCTTGGTTCTCATGAGAAAGATCTGTGTTGTGTCTAGCAAAGCATTCCATCCTCCTTCCCCACTTCCCACTCTGTGTGGCAACTGAGGAATAGGAAAATGGCTTCTGCTAAATTCAATTCAAAGTTGACAGTTGGATCTCCCCCTAGTGAGTGAGGAATACCTGGAAAAAATATAGATAGGCTAATTTCCTATTATCTCCCCCTCCCATCACCTGGTGGTTTCTTTGGTTTCTGGGGATTTTTTTTATGGAACTTCCTGACTAACCTCTCTGCTCTAAATTCTGCTCTTCACCCATGTAGCTTCTGACAGGGGGTAACCCTTCCACTGCACTAAGTATTGCAGCTTCCCCTTATGTAGTCTTGAGTCTAGGATCCTTAGTTCATAATGGGTTTTCCTTTCCACTATGATAGGACCAGGGGTTGCCTGAGCTATTGGCCTCAATGCCGATCTTATTAGCAGCTTCAATAAGCAGCTGTGAAAGATTGGATGCACTTTCCCTAGTAACCAGTAGTAACAAATCTAAAATTTGTTACTACCGTTTCTGTGGGCATGGCTTGGTGGTGGTGGTGGGGTGTAATGTGACTGGGTGGGCATGGCCAACTTTTTTTTTTTTACTTTTAAAAGCATTTTTTCTACAACCTTAAGAGGTTGCAGAGAAAGATGATTTTAGAAGCTTCTGGCGATCAGGCAAGTCAGCTGGGATCACCAGAGGCTTTTAAAGGCATTTTTTTCCCTACAACCTCTTCGGCTGAAGGGGTTGCAGAAAAAAATGCTTTGAAAAGCCTCTGACGATTCCAGCTGAGCCGCGTGATCATCAGAGGCTTTTTAAAAAAAAATTTTAAAGCATTTTTTGGCTGGAGAGGTTGTAGAAAAAATGCTTTGAAAAGTTAAAAAAACAGCCTCTGATAATCGCGGCTCAGCTGGGCATGGGGGTGTGTGTGTGCAGGGATTTTTGCTACCGGTTCTCCAAACCACCCGCCGCCATTGCTACTGGATTGGGCGATCTGGTCTGAACCGGGAGCATTTCACCCCTGCCTAGTAGGCATGGGAGTTTCAGCTCTAGTGTGACTGGGTTGATGATTCTTATAATGGGGAAAGGTCCTAATAAACTTAGGACCCAGTTTTTTGCAAGGCAACTTGTTTCAGGTACTTGATAGAAAGGTAGACTTTCTCTCCTATGTGAAAGGGTCTCTATGGGGATCGCCTTTTGTCTGCTTGTTCTTTTTGCATCTCTGAAGCTTTGCCAGGTGCTCGTTTCACATTTCCCCAAACATTCTACAGTGTGTCCACCCATTCTGTGAGACTCACTAGGAAGGTGGCTCCTGAGGGTACTCAGGAATGGAAATGAACTGAACTCCAGTAGTCACTTTAAAGGGAGTAAGCCCAGTGCTGCTGTGCACAGTATTGTTGTATGCAACCTCTGCGAAAGGCAGTAAATCTGGCCAATTAGTTTGTTGGTAATAACATCTCAAATATTGCTCTACCATCGCTCATTCCACAGCCCCATTGGCACTTGGATGGAAAGCTGAACTAAGCCCCTGGGAGGACCCAATTTGCTTTATGAACTCCCTCCAGAATTTGGCTGTAAAGTGAACCCCTCAATCTGATATGATTCTCCTTGGAACTCCATGCATTCGGTAGATGTGTTTTTTAAACCCCAAAGTGGCCAGCTTGCTTGGTGTCATGACTTCTGTGCAGAACCTGGATTGGAGGGTGCTGGGGATGTACAATTTGGGCACCTTCCATGCTAACCCTGCCCTGAAAACCAGGAGCTGTTTGTTATCCCTCAACTAGGGGTCTGCCTGTAACTCGGCTTTGAGCTTCTGGGTCAATTCTCCATCAGGCTCGGTCGACCTCCCTCAGGCTTGATGCCTCATAGCACTGCCTTTTGAGGGAGGGGGATGATGGAATTGACCACTTCTTCGTAATTGCTTTAGTATTGTGACATTTGGGACAAGGCATCTGCTAGGATGTGTCCCCCCCCCCCAGATATACTTCAAAGTGAAATCAAATCAGTTAAAGTATAGAGCCCATTGGACCTGTTTGGGCAAGAGCTTCCAAAAGGTCCTAAGTGCCTCCAAATTCTTGTGATCAGTCCATACTTTGAACAACACTTTGCTTCCCTCTAGGAAGTGACACCAGGTCAATAATGCCCACTGGACAACAAAAGCCTCCTTCTCCAACACTGCCCATTTCCTTTTGGGGTCAGTGAGTTTCTGGAGATATATCTGCATGGTTTCAGGTTCCCCTCTGATTTTTCTGTATGAGCATGGTGCCCATGGCTACATCACTGTCCTCAGCCTCGATAACAAAAGGCTCCTTGGGTTTGGTGTGTTTTACGACAGGCTCCTTCACAAAGAGTCACTTAAGGGTCTTGAATGCCCCCTGGCATTCCATAGTCCATCCTAGTGGTTGACTGGGCTGCAGCTTGCCCCCCCCCCTTTTCCTGTCTTTAGCAGCTCAGTGATCGGCAAGGCTATCTTGACAAATGAGGGGATGAACTGATGGTATAACTTTGCGAACCCTAGAAAGCTTTGTAATTGCTTGCTGGTTCAAAGGGCTGCCATTCTAGGATGGCTTTCACTTTTCCTGGGTCCATCTCCACCCCCTTGCTCAATACTTGGTACCTAAGTAGTCAAGGTCAGTTTTGTGACACTCACATTTAGACAATTTAGCATAGAGGTTTGCGGCCAGGAGTTTTTTCAGTGCCTGACAAACCAATTTTATGTGTTCCTCCATCATCTTGGGAAAGATGAGGATGTCATCTAAATAAACTAGGACCCCTTTATACAAATGATCATGCAGCACTTTGTTAATCAACTGCATGAACACCGCAGGGGCCCCATGGAGACTGAAAGGCATCACTTTGAACTGGAAACCAGCCAGGGGGCAGTTAAATGCTTTCTTCCATTCATCTCCCTCTTTAATTCTTACTCCGTAGTATGCCTCCCTCAGGTCTAACTTGGTGAAGATCCTTCCTTTTGCCAGGTGAGCCACCATGTCTTTCATAAGAGGGAGGGGATACATGTTCTCCAAGCATACACCGTTTATTCTTCTAAAATCCATGCATAATCTCATAGTCCCATTTTAATTTTCCTTGAACAGCACAGAGGCCACCACGTGAGATTTACTGTTGTGAGCCGCCCTGAGTCCAGCTGGAGATAGGGCGGCATATAAATCTCATTAATAAAAATAAATAAATAAAATTTTGCTGGTTGGATGAAACCCCTGGATAGGTTTTTGTCCATGTATTCCCTTAGCTTCTTCATCTCCCTTGGGGTCATGGAATACATCTTTAGTTTGGGAAGTTTTACTCCTGGCAGGATATCAATTGCACAGACGGTGGGGTGGGGGTGGGGGTTTAGTGCATCTCATTCCTTCTCACTGAACATCCCAGCCAGATCCTGGTATTCCCGGGAATTGAGGGGGGTCCCCGATGCTTGCTCTCTTTGGTTCCTGCTGTCTGCTGGATGGCCCCCTTTCTGGGGTCATTTCAAGGTGGGAGAGGACCCATTCCTCTCTCTGCATTCCCATCAGATCATTGGGCCCCATATGTCTAGCCAAGATAGTCCCAGTTTCACTGCCTCAGTCATTTTTGAGATTATTACGAAGCAAATAGTTTCCCAAAATTGGGCCATCTCTAGCCGCAGTGGCTCAATTAGGTATGTGGTGGGGGATCTCCATCAACTTACTTGAATCTCATGGCTTGGAGGAGTTTCCTCATTCAAATCCCCAACCTCAGCACCATCGGTAAGCTAATTAGGCACTTGGTACATCCTGAGACTATTAGGGCATCCACCTCTCCCTGAACCCCTGATTGTGGCACCACGATTCTCACAGGAATAGTGAAGGGGCAGATGGCTTCACTTACCATCGAATCACCTTTGCCTTCACTGTCATAGGGGGCCAGTTGCCGGTTCTCTTCTGTCTGAGTTCCCTCTCCTTCACTTGAGGGGGTGGAGACCTGAATGGCCTGGTGCATTCTGAGTGATATGCCCATTGAAAGCAGAACTCCCAAGTTACCAAAATTGCCTCTGGTATCAGGCATCTGAAATTTACAATGTTTTTAATCAGCTGACCTGTCAGAAATTGATATTGTCGTCTTAGTTTTCTTACTCTTCTTAGCACCTGTTTGATCACCACAATTTCTTTGCCTTTATATTGCAGAGGTTCA